TTATATATATATTTTTATATATATATTCACACACACGCGCGCGCACACACAAAAAAAGTCTTTGATAGGCTTTCTGTGTTCTAGTAAAAATAGTTGGCAGCTGCAATCTGTGAGACCAGAACTGGCTTTTGTGCTGCCTGCGATGCCCCACTGCAAATTGTCTCTCAAAGGCAGACGCTCGTATTTATCTGGCAGGTCGAGCTAGTGCCTGCCTGAGACAGAAATAACCTCCCGTTGGGACACACACAGAGCTCGTAGATTTTTTGCCTGGACCCTGCAGAAGAGGAAGATCCTTGAGGCAAGTTAGGTAGTTTGATTTTTGCAGAGTTCAACATTATCTGAAGTCAGAGAGGGGAAAAGAGAGAAAGAGAAAAAGAATTAGTGGAGGGCTTTTACTTTTTGATCTTGTGTTTATAGAAGCTTCCTTCGGACAACTCACCTGCTACAAAATCTGGGTGGGCAAGTATATTACTGTGGGAAAGGCTGACAGAAATCCAGGTAAACATATTGTCTGCCTTTACCATGAGCCACTTAATGTCTCCTGCTGTGTTTGCTCGGGTTGTAGCTTCCTGGAGCATCTCTGTGTTTGGGTTAACCCAACCAGAGTTACCCCACTGCTAGGTGGGCAGCGTTTATGGTTCACATCCACACAGCAACTCTGCTCCTCCACCAGGATTTCTGGCACTGTGATCCCATTGCCAGTGACACTGTAGGCTCACAGCACTGCCCTTTATGCGTATTTTATATATGTAACACTTTTGTGTATATTAAAAATAAATGCTGTAACAGACCCAAATTTCTCCTTATAAAACAGAACATGAAAGCAAACGTGGCAGCTCTTAGACACATGGCAGCTACAGGGGAGTGCTCTAACATCACTGAGAAGAGCACAGTAAGATCACCCGCATGCCAGAATATTACAGGGTGACTGACAGTATTTGTTCTTATCTTGCAATTTCAGTAAGAGTGTCCAGTTTTATTATCGAGCAATCTAATCTCCTGAAAGAGACAGGTTATCTGCATTTTAAAAGCAACTTAGTGTTAAAAACATTAAGGCAACTTCTTGCAGTAGTGAAACACCTTGGATTCAACTGTAGTAGATTAGGAAGGTGGGGTTTTTTTGTATTTTCGAGAGTTTTTTTTGTTAACACTCATGGTCTGGGTTTGGAATGTCTTAAAATGCAAACATTTCGAAATAACAGGAATTGTGATAAAAACCCCATCCTATTTATTACACCTGACACGAAGATAAGAAAACATTAGATGATATTTGTGCCATGTTACTGGGAAGTTTACGTTCATTGGGAAGCAATTCCTGCCAAGGCTCTCGGTGGGGTCCCCAGCAGGAGCTCCTCAACCACATCCTTCAGCGTCTTCCATCATTGTGGCGGGGAGAGAGGATGAAAACCATCTATCTGTGTATTTTTGATACACTAGAAGAGCTTAACACCTGTTTTACTTTTGTTCTGTGTTATCAGTTTTAGCTATTTTTCTCTTCCCTTTGGAAGTTTCTTCGGTGCAACAACCTGAGTCTCTTAATGTTCACTTTCTTTCCAAAATGCAAAAATGAGCTGCAAAATCAGCTTTTCAGATCAATAAGAGTGAATTAAGCTCTTCTTACAGAAAAATGTATGACAAAAGACTTAATTATATTGGCCAAGTAAATCTTGCTTTAAAGTGACAAGGAAACAAAGAATATAGGAGCACTGTGTGTTTTACAGCCGTATAAATCTGTTTGAACAACAGATGCTATTATCCAAGCACTTTAAGCATAATGAATCAGCCTTTGCAACAGAATGAGGCTCGTTTACATATGATAGGTTCAATCACCCCTAGTGCAAACTAGGCTAAGAAGGACTGTTTCACCAGTGCCTTCATGCCAGTGGTTCAAACTCAGGGGCTCAGTGACTCAGAAGGCTCCAAATCTGCAAGCGATCTGTGGCTTAATTCATTTTTTTGCTGCAGGGCTTGACGTCCTTCGCTTACCTCTCCATCTTTGGATTCCAGCCTGAGCTCTGTCCTGCATGTGGCTTTCAAGCTGCCGGCCTCGGCGTTGATCTCGATGCCCTTTGGAGCCTCCATCACCAGCGCGCGTGTAGGCGACTCCAGCCTGTAAAGGAAAGAGGGGTTACAGAGCCTGGCGGGTCGAATATTCGTGCTTAATCACAGGCTGTTGTCTCACACAGCCTGACTGCCCATTGCATGGCACCTTAGGAGCACCTGACATTCAGATCCAAGCCTGGTTTAGTCAGTGGAAAGAATTCATGTGCAATGTGGTTAAACACATCACAGATCCAATCTGCTAACATTTTCAATCAACTTTGCTACACCGTATATTGTGGGACAAGATGCAAAGTGCAAAAGCTTCCCCCCATGCTCATATGCAAGATGTGACATTTGGAAGGGTTTAAGGACATAAGGAAATCAATGAAGAAAAAAATAAAAAGGCTGCAGTCCCCCAAATTCCTAGTCTCCACTCCTACGCTCACATCTCAGTGCTCACAGCCAGCTCCTCCCTCTGCAGTGCTTCGACCCCTCCTAATCACAGATACACCACAACACAGGCACTGTGTTAGCACCCTGTTATAGCACTGACACAGCCAAATGTTTTAGTCCAGGCAATTGTGGTTAATGCCGTAAGTTTCAGAAGTGCAAGGTTCAGTCTTCCTTGCTGATCATCCATTCATAGGTCTTGTATTATACTTGTCTCTTCTTTTCTTTATAATACAGTCTCTTATTACTTTCTGTATTGAAAACCATAATAAAACCCAATTCTCCCTATTTGGGAATATCCTCTTAGTTAATTTTATCACCATTTGTCTACCTGTACCACCACAAAATCTGGGCTAAGGTCTCCCCAGATGAAGCGGACTGCAACAGAAGCTCCTCTGCTTGGACTGCTTTGGGTGGGCAGCACAGACCCAGGGGAGGCACAGGGCAGGAACACGACCCAGCTTACTTTCAGGATTTGCTTGCATTACATTACCGCAGTGACACTCCAGCTGTTTCTCTTTATATACAATCATTTGTGCAAGTAAGTGTATTCTTAAATGGACTCCTGCTGTTACTGAGACAATGTTATGGGAGATCGAGGGAATTCAGCTGTATTTATTGCAGCAGAAAGTTCAATACAGCAAAGGCACACTCCCTCTGTGTGGCACTTTTCACGTTATGACTTTCCCTCTTGTTGGTGTCTTCCTATTGCTGCTTTCTGAACACCTTCCCTCAAGATCCCAAATTCGTCCATAATTTCCTGGCTGACTCAACTAAATCTAAATTTCAGGGAAGAACCAGAGGCATACGCAGTCCAAGAAATGAGCATGGTCGCACAGTAAGCAGCCTGTGCACAATCTTGATGAGCTGCTTTTTGTTTGCTCTCTGCAGGGAAGCTATATCTTACATAAACCTTCTTCTGATCCCTCTACTGGTGTCACCCTTCGGCTAGTTTCTGCATGAGAAACCTAAGGTTAAGGCTGCTGCTACTCACTTTTTTTTTTTTTCCCCTGATTGAATTGCAGATTGCACAGAAGTAAAAAAGCTTACAAAGAATGATTGACATTAAATAGTGCTACCTGGGGTATGATTCCACCTGACCTTCCAATTGCAATAACTGCCTTTCCAATATCTGTTAGAATTTTTTTATGGTAAAAATAGCCACAGCACACAGCCTTAGGGCTCTGGCACATGCACTCCGCTGGTTTCATTACAGTGGCTTAACACGCTGTCTGTCCCACATTTTCTCTGGAGACTTCTGCCCAGGGATACAGTATGCTATATCACTCTTGGTGGTGCACCTCACAAGCCGGTGTCTACTCTGAAAAATGAAGGATGATCTGTTTGTACTAAGCCCCCAGGATCTGAGCTGCAGTGGCTGGGATGCAGGCACATACCCGCTCCTGCCACCCCTGTCTGCTCCAGAGGCAGGAACCACCAGAGGAGAAGGAGAGCTGAGGCTGGTAATGTCTTAAGTCACAGTAGCTAAATTCACCAGAGGATGTGTCCAAACCCCAAGACAGCTGAGCTAATCTGAGGATAAAATAATTCCTAAGAACCATGGCTAGGTAACTTTTCAGGTCTCCGACATCTTAGTGAGTCTTCAATTTCTTTGATGTCTTGGCTGTCTCAATCTATTTGTTCAACTGTTAATCCTGTAGCTCTTCTGCCCATTGAGAAATAAATCTTCTAAATGCTCAGTGTTCAGACACCACAGTGCAAAAGCCCTCATTTGCAGCAGCAGCAGCTCTCAACTCCTGCCCTGTACTAGAGCAGCCTCCCAGTCCCACACCAGTGCTTTACTGGAGAGAGTGCACACAGGTCTGCGTAAGATCAGACTCAGTTAAATTCATGCTTTGAACAAGCTACCAAGTACCTGCGCGTCTATTAGATAACATTGTCCCAAAGTTTTATTCTCCTTTCGCATCTTTTAATATCTTTTCGTTTCCGAGTGACTCCATCGTTCTCCCCCTGCCACCCAATGAAAACCTACAGGCAGCGTAACAGCATCCTACAAACACTGATGAAACCTCACGCAGTTAGCCACATCCTAATCCATGTGGAGCTTCTTGCCTCAGGGAGGCAAAAGGGACCCTCTTGAGCACTTCCCTGTAGCCCATGGTGTAATGTGGGACAAGCACACAGCGCTGGGGTTTGCTGCTGCTCCGTCACCCACACTGCTCCCGGCGGCACCACGTGTTTTCTGAAGTTATCTAAGCTGACCCCGACTCTGTCATCCTAAATCACTAGCTCAATGACTGCAATCTTGCTGGCACACTGAATTAACCAAAACCAAAAGTACTAAACCAGCAAGTACTAAATCAGCAAAGTGCAACTCTTCCAATGACGAGAAACTCGGGCTCACAGCCCACAGAGTTTTGTACTTGTGCCATGGGACTGGAGACTGACTCTCCTCCCTCACAGAACCTTACAGGTTCAGTATCGGTGTAACTCTATCTGTTTGCACGGGACTTTTGTCCCAATTTATACTGCTGTAAAAGAGGACAGAAAGGTTTTAATAACATTTTCCTTGGCATTTGAGGGCATATGATTGTGAAGGATTTAATTTGTTTATTTTGTGATATCCTGAATGAATCCCTGAGATACCTATCTTTAAACCAGGAGCGCAAGAATCTATGCAAAGCCAGAGAAAGCAGTTGAGGAGTTTATGCTCTAGGGGCGTTGAGTAATGTTTACCGAATACTTTCATTTGAAGCAAGTGTTTAAGAGCACTCTGCTTTTAAACCTAATTCTGTCTTCCAGAGCAGAACCAATCTGAAGTCTAATAATGAAAGAAAATGATTTAGCGATGAACAGATAATTTGTTCAAAATCAACATTTGTTTTCCAGTGTGATACTCTGGAGCTTTCAGTAGGATTCACATCTTGTGGTTAGGTGTAAGCCTGCACTTACAGCAGTAGGCTGGAAAGGTGGCTGCATGAATATAGATTGTTTCATTATTTGTTCCTGCTCTTGAATTTTCCATCCCAGCAATTGGCACGTACGCCCTTTTTATTGACCACAGGTGCTTCTTATTTTTGCTCTAGTATTTCCAGGACTGGATTCTGACCTCTGTCACAGAGCTGGGCAAGGAGCATAGATTCAGCACTATCCACAGAGTTAGAGCTTGCTGAATTCAGGACCAAGATAAGCTACTGCCATGAAATTGCTCCTGTCCCACCTACAGCCTCCTAATAGGTGGATGAAGAGAGAGTCTCCTGTCTGGGTGATTACTCACAACATTGGAAACTCTCCTACATATCTCAGGGTGTCACATAAGTCCAAAATTTTAAAAGAAAAGACACGAGTAACAGGATTTTCACAACTATCAAAGTACCTAGGTTCCACTTATTACAACGGGTGTTAGGTACTTTTGAAAATCCCATTGAGCACCTAAATGCCATAACAAATCTGACCCTTAATCTCAGTTCTTAGTTCTGGAACAGAGGTAATAGCACTTCCCAACTCCACAGGGAGCACAAAAAGATAAATATATGAGGGGGTTGTGAAGCGGTTACATGCTCTCATAACTGAGGCCAGGCAAGTACCATAGCCAAAGATAGACGGCTGGTAGATGGACAACAGATCTTTCCAAAGCTGCGATATTAGGCTCTTACCTTCATCAAAAATACTGTTAGTCTTCTTCCTCCCACTGAGCACACTTGGCCTGCATATCAATGTGTGAGGTGATGTATGCAGAAGCCTTCCTCCAGCTCACCATGCTTAATGGGCAGTGCTAAAAGTGCCTCTTAAGCCCTTTTACTGAAACCTATCACCCAAGCATCTCACATTTTAAAGAGAGGTGATGGCACACGTGCATCTTGCACTGAACCCTTCTGCCATCCATCACTGGAAATTCTGTGCTCCTGGGAATTAACAAGCAA